TACTCTGTGTTCCAAACATTCTGGAAGGTAGAGTGTGGTATAGCAAGTGGCGCACTTTTAAAAAAGTGTCTTAGTACCATTGCGACAAAGACAAATGTTCAGCACATCTCGAGCGTTGCTCACTCATTGCTTATATTTTCTTTTATAAAACTAAAATTGTGCTGTATAGTCATATGCCACGTTATGTTTCCTCTGTATATTACTGCTTGTGACTGCTGTTGTGGCTGAACAAGCCTATTGTTAATCCATGCACTTCAAAAATAAAGAATTAAAAAAAAAAAAAAAAAGTGTCTTAGTGTCAGGCGAATGCTTATGTTGTAATAGGATATAAAGCCAGCTGAAATGCAGATGAAAGAGGAAGCAGGCGTGTATACAGATGGATGTGACACTTGCAAGACTTATCTTTCACTTCCAAAGTTTTTACATGCATCCAGCATTGCAAGGCTTAGCTCATTGGTTGAGAGTGGTCGGCTTACACATAACACAAAATAGCATACCTCCAAAGTGTTCCTATTGAAGAGGGACATTCACTATTTGAGGCCCAAATCCCTCTGCCTCTCTTTTCTATCTTAGGAGTTTAATTTTTTTGGTGTATCTGAGGGTATAACATAACTCCCAGTAATGTGCCTTTAAATTAGACTAAATTTGTTTAGAATTCAGTCTGTGTAAATAAAAAAAACATCGTTCTTGTTCTAAATTACATTTTAGTTACATTAATTGTTGTTAGTAAGTCACCTGAAATGTCAGAACAGCTCAGTCCATGGCAAAACCCCTAAAATTAAAATGTCCCTCTTTGTCCATTTGAAATGTTGGGAGGTCTGTTAAAATCGATATTCACCAATGGACACTCCACATAAATAATGACCCTGCCATTTCAGTGGGGTTAGAATGATTAATGGTGATTTGGCAAGATTACCCTGTACAAATTATTTAGATAATGAGTACGTGAAACATCCTAGTTAAGCTGTTCAAAGCAGAGAGGGTGAGAAAGAAAAACTTGTTTTAAATGTCAAAAACCACTTGAAAATAGCTTGACAAAAAGTAGACACTTATAGCTTTCTTGCACCATAACCACTACACTACAAACACATTTAGTGAATATTGTACTTGGATTTTCACCTTTAAATTGCAGCTCTAGAAGGTGCAAGAAAAATGTTGCAGCAATAACCCCACCCCATTGACAAAAATGCTTGGCAAATAGTATGGTAGCATCCAGTGCAAGATATATAGCACAAGGGACACATGGCACCACACGGAACCCCTTCGAAAAAGGGTAGCCAGACAAGGTAACCTGATATCCTGTCACCATAGCCACTGCAATGCATTATGGTGCCTGAAATGCCACTTAAAAAGTTTTAAGTAGAGGGTTAAAACATGAATGACACTTAACACTAAAGCATTAGGAATACAAACCTGTATACAGAGGTTCCCTCCCCCCCCCCCTCTAGAGGTGCCATAAAATTAATAAAAAATTTGAAATAAAAATACTTTAAACAAATTTTTTTTACTAGCACAGAGTCTCCATCGACTCTACCTACTTCTCCCCCTATCATGGCCTCGTCTGACGTGTTCTAATCCAATGCTCCTCTGATTTGCAAGCTTTTTTTTTATATACCCCTAAAGATAACATGTAGGGATAATTGTCTGCATATTTTTCTTTGGGGGTATATCTGCTAAATTGTTTTTAAAAACCAATACGTTTCCAGTGGAGTATTCCTTTTAACGTATTAGGTTTATTGAGTTAAAGTGGTACTCACCCTGGGACCATTTCTTGATCCTGATGAAACACCCAGACAGGGACTGAAACGTTGATCCACCTTTTAACTTTTCGTCACTAAAGTATGACATTTTAAACTTTGGAAAGACCGTGAGTGCCAGCTCCTTTCTTATGTACGTACATATATTTTTAATCTTGGTGGTCTGTTGGTAGAATATTTTTCCTGTTTCGCTATTTTGGTCTAAAATCTACATGCCCTTGTCAGTACCTCACAATACAGGTTTTACTGAATAACTCTCAATACCCCTTGCAGAGTGGGGTTTACTCTCTCAGCTTGAAATTATAGCAAATTTAAATCAATACGGCAAAATACAAACTCTGAATATAGATAAGAGAATTTTTAATTTTTTTTAAATCATTGACGCTTACAGTTTGCCAGTTCGTTTCAATTTACTACATTGTGGTGTTATGTGAATAACCCCAGCGATACACTCTCAACTGTGAAGTTTAAGTGAATTTAAAATTTAAGGCCAAATTAAATTAAAATTGGAAACATTCCATTCAGTGTTCAGGTTAATTCTCTAAACTCTGTATTATAACAAATTAAAATCCAAGTGATAAAAAAATAAATTTAGGCTAAAATAGCTGATCTGAAGAAAAAAATTATTATCAACCTAAATATTGATACACCCCAACGATTGTAGCCTGAATTTAAAGGAACAATCCAAGCATCAAAACCACTACAGCTCTTCCCCCGCCCCCCTTCAGAAGTAATAGAGGCAAGGAGCGACACCCTGTGGACCACAGGTATGAAGTTTAAATCGGTTGAGGAGGGGTGCCAAGGAACTACTGACACCATAATTACTACAGACAGCAGTGGTTATGGTGCTTGGAGTGTTCCTCTAATAATTTGGATTTTAAATTAGTACAAATCCAAGTTTAGTGAACAAACGTGTATATTTTCAGTTTGGCTATTGTGAATTCTGACAGTTTACACTTAAATAAATAACCAAGTTGGCTTTTAGACCCCAAGCTGTTACAGAGATCCTCCACAGCCCAAATAAAATAAATAAATAAATGTCACTGTTTAGTATATATTCCCCCAGCAAAAACATGCATGCATTTAAATACGTATTTTTTCTCATTAGGGGTATTTTTAAAAACATCTTGCAAAAGCTGCAGATTTCGAGTCTGCAGCCTGTGCAAGCCCTCTCCTTCTTCCCCAGCCAAGACGTTCGGTGGTTAATTTATGAAGGTTCCAATTTCTACTGATATTTGCAGTTTTTATAAAAAATAAAAAAAAGGGGGGGGGAACACGCTCTTTAACCCCTTAAGGACACATGACATGTGTGACATGTCATGATTCCCTTTTATTCCAGAAGTTTGGTCCTTAAGGGGTTAAGCATAAACCATTTAATCAACCTAAAGTGCTCTGGGGGTCCCTTTAACCTACACTTTCCTTGTAGCCACGTAGAATGCAGTTCTACTGGCTTTCTATAAGCCCCCTGAAGGGCTGGCTCTCATTCATTTTAAATTTTTTTTATTGAAACCCTATGCTCTTCCTAAATTAGAAACAAAACATGCCATAGTTATTCTTTAACCCCTTAAGGACCAAACTTCTGGAATAAAAGGGAATCATGACATGTCACACATGTCATGTGTCCTTAAGGGGTTAAACAGTTCCAGCGAGTGATTGACAATATACATGTGATTAAAAGCCTACTACTATACACAGCATTGCTATTACAGCAATTTGTTCATATTCGTTTTAGAATGTTATATAGTATTTTGACGTGACAATATTTGCCATTGCCTATAGTGCTCAAATTTGGACTATATTCAGCCTATGTAGAGTTACATTTCTGCAGACTAGAATTAACAGACTCCCATAATCCTCTATTTTAGCATGTTCATATATGAATTATATTAAGTGTTACTACAAGAAAGGTCTGCAATATCCTTTTCACAGAAGGAGATAGCTTTAAACCGGCTTATGAAATGGGCACCTTTAAAAAGCCGTATCTAGTTATCTACTTGTGGGAATAGTTGCTTAGGACCACAACCTGTAAGATCTGAAGGGCTTACAGGTTGACTGACCAGCAAATCCCCAGTATTTTACCAAACATTCCAAATTCCATCAGATACAGGAATATCCAGAGCATTCTATATGTAAACTTGGCGGTAAACGGTTAATACGTTTCCGCCCACCCAAGGTCACCACTCCCTCTCTCTGCTAGTTTCCAGCTACACAACTCAATGCTCTGTATCCATATGGTCCGCTTTCTGCTCACTCTTGTAAGTATGTTGCTGTTTCTATGGAAATGCTATTTTCTTCTTGCAATGCATAGACCCCCTGTACTCTATGGATCCACATTTGATAGGAATCTGATTTCTTGATCGCTCTCCAATTCCAATAGTAAACGTTGCTGTTTCCTTAAATGTAACCATGTGCTCAGAGCTTAGCCTTAGCATTTAAGGAATGTAACTGTTTAACATACTTTTCCCATTTGCTGCACCCTTTATTTTGCTTTCTTCGTATTTCTGCAGACATTCTCCTGTGGCTATCCCTTTTACTTCAGATAACTCCACGTTTCTCCATTAATCTATGTACAAAGCATACTAATCCCTATTAAAAGTCAGCTTTCAGGTATAGTATTCTATATACATATCCTACTGTCCCTTACTACATTTTTTTCCTATATAACGCAATATATGTTCACTATAAATGCACCTTTTGGCTCTGTGCCATCCTCCTCCCTCTCCCCCATTTTAGCCACTCCTTGTAACCCTCCCATAGTCCCTCACTTTAATCCCTCAAATTTCTGCATAGGACATCCTTATAACTGACCTAATGGCTATTTATAATCCTAAATATATCTGATATCCTCTGATATCACCCCTTCACTGTAAATGTATCTGTGCATTTCATGTAAGCTCTTACTATATTTATTTTGTCTCTTAAAATGATTCATTTATATTATACCATCTGACTAAAAAGCTTGGCAGAATTTACCTCAGTATCTTAAGATATTTAGACTCCTGCCATCAGAAGGGATACATACAAAAATATAGTGTGGTAAAATAATTTTTGAGAGCAGTCGCCATATTTCATAACTCCAACAGCCAAACTCGCAATCTACTAAATATCGGCGGCATCCTACCGCCAACAGCAGACACAAGGGCAGATATACCTGCAGAACACTGCCCTGAAGCTGTCGATGCCTTTTTTCCTAGCCCCGGTCAAAAAAAATCCCGCAGCTGCGGCCTCAAGGCCTACCGCATGGGCGACCAGCCTCTTGTAAACCTTGGAGGCCGCCCGACGTAGAGCGATCCGGACCTGACAGTACTGCTGGCCAACCTACAAACGGCCATTGAAATGGGCAGAAAATCCAAAAAGCAGCCGGCAAATACCGTCAGGACACATCGCGACATTGGCCAGATGCTGCAATCCCTGACACCAGTGCCGGCGTCATGTGAGTCCTCACCCTCGCAGGAACCATCACCCTCATGATCAGAGGGCAGGGTCTCACCTCGGAGCCCAGCGTCGACTAACAGAGGGACACCACGCACATCGGAGGCAACAGCTCCTGCAACCAAACTCGAAATACAGGACATGCTCACCGGCTTCCAGCACAATCTCCGGAGAATGTGGGAAGCGGACCTGGCAGTACTCACCACTGATGTACAGCCCGTCACAGCGTGCACCCAAGACACCGAGGAAGAAGTTCTCGACCTAAAACAAGACCTGAGGGCGCTGGGGGAAAAGGTACAACATATACAACCAGCTCAGACCGAAACATGCAGACAGGTGAACATACCAGATGGCAGGGGACGGAGAAAGAATATTAAGATGCGGCGGTCCTAGAATCAATCCCTCTAGAAGAGTTAATACACTGTGTATAGGATCGCTAAGTCCCCACAGGCCCCAGCCTCCGCACCTCGCGAGATTATACTTAGATGCCAAACTATTTAAGACAAAATGGGGCTGTTAGTGGCACTAAAGGGACAGTCTCCTTACAATTTCGAACTGTGCCAAATCTCATTCTTCCAGAGCAGAGCCAACTTGTTGTGGACAAAATCTATGCAACCCCTCATGAAAATTCTACAAACGGAAGGCCTGACCTACCAGTGGGCGTCACTAAGGAGTGGAAGTCGTACAAGGCTACAGAACCGGCTGAAATTCCTCCCCTACTGGCCGTACTGGGCCTCTCCTCGCAAAGTGCCCCCAAACCAAGGACTGCCTTGCACTCCCTCCCAAACTGTAGCTGCCATACCCACATTCAAACCCAGAAGAGATGAGGTCTACGACCTAAAAAGATCTCAGCACCTGGCCAACTCATGCTGCAGTGTTTTACTTCTTGTTTATTTCTTTAAATATGTTTTGACTGTTAATTACCTTTTTTCGGTACCTGCTGACGTATTGTCCTCCCACACCTATGTGGGGAGGTAACAGCACCTCATCCACTCTGTCACTGACATGCACACAAAGCACTCTTCATGGGATCCATTACCGTCATCAACCCCTTAACCCCAGGGCACTGGGGGTAAAGAAAGCAGGGGTACGAGAGGTTCCGCCCCACGACCAAGGACACAGGTCTAGCTAGACACATTAATGGGACTAACCTCCGGGCCCCAAACCGCACTCGCCCTTCTCTTATAGTATATCCACTAGCTCCCCATTGTTCACTAGACTCTGAATTTGTGCAAATTTAAAATCGAATTGAGAAACGGTTACAGTAGCCATCTTTTAAGTTTGGCTATTTTAACCTAAATGTTGCTGTTTGTAATTTAGTAAATAATACTACATGCTGCAATAAAAAAAGTGGAAGTTATGGATGTTTATTGGCTTGTTTAGTAAGTAAATGCGATCAGACTTCGTGATTCACATTTTGTGTCTGGCTATGCTTACCTTGAGATGTTGTAGAATATACCAGAATATCTAATATGTATTTGCTTTATATAAAGGTCAAGTGATAAGAGTAAAGGGGATTTTAAAGAGACCCAGCTTGCTCATAGAGAAGGCTGTGACTGGACTGTTTTGCTGACTTGCAAGGGGGGAAGAGGAAGGATGGTGGGAGGAATATTTTAATTAAGAAATAAAAACTAATTTAAGTTACAGATTGAGGCGGAAGGGAAGCTATTTTACCACTGCAGGTGCTCTGCCTGCAAAGTAGAAGATTGTTACGTTATGTCTGTTACCAACGCGTGATGACAGAAGTAAAATATGTACAGAATTGACAGTAGGCAGCATGGAAGGCACATGTGCTAGGTATGCAACTAGTCTCCTGCACACATTTGCACATCCAGAGTTATTTTTAGTGTTTCAAGCTGAAGCACTACTTATCCAGACCATGACCACTTCAAAAAGCAGAAGTGATTATGGTGGTGGGAATAACCCTTTAGCCTTGTTATACTCCCTTGCTGTCAGTGAGACCACTTGTCCTGCTAATTGTGGTAGCTCAGTGTAGCTAAACTCAAGAGGAATTAATTGCTCAACACACCTGCCTTGCAAAAGATGTCTCATTGAGCTGCATGGAGAAGTCTGTGATTGGACAGACACAGAAAGTCTGGGCTAAGTAAGAATGGGAGGGCTTGCTAAGGCTGCGAACATATACTCCCAATGAAAAAAGTCCTAATTAACCCCTTTAGACCGGAGGGCGTACTATTACGCCCTATTATAGGCGGCTCTAAACGCCGCCGGGCGTAATAGTACGCCCTCCGGTCTTTCGGTACTTACCCGGTCGCCGGCGGTCCCACGCCGGCGATCGCGGTGGGGGGGGACTCCCAGGGAGCCCCCCGCGGCACGTCTGTCCTCCATGAAGCCCCCCGCCGTGTGAGAGTGGGGTCCTTGCGAGGACCCCACAATCACATGGCCGGGGATAGCTGGCTTCTGTATTGCCAGCAGGGGGGCTGCCTGTAATGACAGGTGGTCCCCCTGCTGGCTGAAAATAAAATTAAAATGAGTTAAAAGTGTAAAAAAAATAATATATACTTAGATCATATATGTATGTATATATGTATGTGTGTGTGTATATATATATGTATATATGTGTGTGTGTGTGTATATATATATATATATTGGAAGGCAGGGCCTGAAGTTGTGGGGGGGGCTATATCCCTTT